GTTGCTTTGCTTGGCGTAAACCTTTTTTGCAACATTTTGCAACACCTCGACAAATGCAAAACGTCGTCATTGATGGGTATCATGCTTCCTAGAGCCGTCAGTGACAACCACAGGGTTATTTGGTACTCATTTTGTCGCCATGACTGGTAACGGCGTTCTCCAAACTTTTGCAACAATTTTGAAACTTGGTTTGATGATCTTTCAAATCTTGCGAGACAGGAGATGACGTTGTTTCGTTTTGTCATGCCATTTCCACTCAATGCTAGTAATGTCCCCTTGAGTTTATGCAGCCTGGCCGTCGGAAATGCAAAGTAAACTGCACTCAATAACGTGCTGCACCCGCGCTCCTTCCAAAACTATATGCAAGTATGAGGTTGACCAATTCCTTCACAGACACATCAGTACTTCACTGCTCAGGGTGGAGGCTGAGGTTGAGATTAGGAGCGTAATACTATTGTGGGATCCCGTTGAGGCGCTCTTCCTCAGATACTGTGGTTCTTCCACTTGTATCGGCCCTTATAATTTACCAACTTACATTCAGTTCCATGCATTCATCCCACTATCATGTGTCGCATTCATTCGTCGAGTCCACTATCAACTTCGGCTCACCATTTTTCCTCTCTAGATCTCTTCAGTGACGCACACGGTCGGGTGGATTGCTGTTTTGATCAGGCTATTTCGTAAGTGCGCCTGGGTTGAGGGGAAATAGCGTATAGCAAAAACCTTTGCCTTCAATACAGGGCGGCTCACATCCTTAGTAATCGCCCAGGTAGTGTCCTTGTCCTTAAAGGGACAAGGACACTTCGCAAACGTCCTTGCGAGATCCTGTGATGATTTCGCCGACTCGCACCCTCCACAATGTCTTATGGGCACCGTTCCTGTATCACGAGAGCTCCTCTGACTGGCTGCCCCTCTCTCTTGAACGAGATCAGCCGTTCTGCAGTGATCAACCCTGCTCTGATGATCCAAAATCTCCTTTCGTCTATCCGCAAAGCCACTAGCGTCGGCAAACATCACGGACATGGAAGCCCGGCATGCTTAGTCGTCTTTGACCTCGTGCGCCGACTAGTTTGTTATTAGCTTATCCAGATGGTATTTTCGGCGTATCCGCAACAACATGCCCACATCGAGAAGATGGTTATTTCCTTCAAAATCCTCCCTTGACTTGCATACAACGCCGCTCCAAAAACCTGAATGGCCGATGCACCTTGACATTGAAGTCAAATGACTTGTGGCATTGCTTTATCAAAGGGTTTCCATTCAGCCACCACATCCCAAATTTAGTCATCATTTGCATGCATTTGGATTTCACCCATAACGTGGGTTAGTAACACGTTCAATATACTGGGTTCAGCAAAGCTCATAATGTTCAGCATAACGCTAGACATCTGTCAGAGTCGCGTCTGTGCTAAAACTGAGCTTCAACAAAAAATTTGTCGTCTTATCACCACGGGTATTGTTGAGCAGATTTTATCATAGTGACTGCATCTCGGGTTGTTGTAGGTGTCCAGGTAGATGACGTGCTTTCCAGTGAGGTGATATCACGTCATGACATGCTAAAATGGATATCACGTCCGGAATTTCTGCACGAAATCTGTCAAGAAATTCAGTGTTCCATTATACGACTAACATGAGTAGGTCATCAGCGGCCAGTGCAACATAGCTTATAGGGGACAAACAGAATAATTTTTGGCCCGGGCCGGTTTTGGACAAACGTGTGAATATACCACTAGCAGCCAGTGCAGTAGTATTTATAGGGGACAGATATAATAATTTCTAGTTTGGTCCGGTTTTGAATGGACAGCCCTTAAATGATGGACCCGGCAAGTTTCCACCTTCGCCACTCAAGCCACAACGCGTGTTGATTTTGATCCACCTTGATTCGTCTTTATTGTATAGTGGTCATCGATAGATAGGTCAAGATAACCCACTTAAAGGCCGTGTACACATGTCCTGTGCTGATGTCACATGGCGAAATGCTCAGCTCTTCAGATCGGCAACAACGCGGAAATGTTAGTAAAGATACTCTCCTAACATGAGAGCGCATCTTCCGAATGTCCCAACATTCGGAAGTTTAGTGGCTCCGTTTTCATCGAAATGTCGGCTTTTCTCTGAATTAGGATGAACATACGGGAGGCACATTTATTAAGAAATGTGCAGCACCTTAATACTGCTCTCGATATGTTAATCCACTGAAGGGATCCAGTGTGCTCGGTTTGTGACTGGTTCTATATCTGTCGATAGGCTACAATGGAATTTAAGTTTAGAATTTTATTTATTAGAATATTCTATTAGAATTAGAGGAATTTAAGTTTACATTGGAATGATCATCGGTCACTAAATGTTAAATCATGTGTTACTTGTCCATGAATATTTGTATATGTTGCCATCATAGCAGCTGCAGATTGACGTTATATGACATTGAGTCAACTTTTTGGAGCTGTGATGTTTGGTTTATGTCCACCTGATATGATTCTGGTTTGTTGCATTGGTGAATGTC